ATATAAATATAAGATAATCATTTTTTTAACAATTTGACAAAAATAATTAAAATCATAATATAATAAATTATAATCAGATTTTCAAATGGAATATCCTAAATGTAAAATTTCAGACAAATAGCAAATAGCTTTTGTTAACAATCCTGATTATTTAAACAAATATAAGCCAGCTTTAATATAGTTTGAATCTGATTTAGAAGTGCAAAATATTGACAGCAAGGTAATGAGGCTTGGTTATCCTATCAAATTTGATTAGGTTATAACATCTAGTCTATTTCAAAAAAAATAATATGGCTGAATTGAAACTTTGAGGCTTCGAGAATTAGGTTTAAATTGATAAAAAGCCATTCAAAATTAACATGGTAAGATTTTGGATATTGGAAGGGGAATAACGAATAACCTATTTGCAAATTGCTTCTTTAAAGTATAATAATAGACTATCGTATATTTGATAATAAAATATATAAAAATTTAAATAAGTGATACGTTTAATTTATGCGATTAAAATTTACTGTAGTCTCAGCAAAATTTTCTAATTAATTTTCCATTTAAGAAGGAAACCTGTAGATTCCTTTTTATAATAATAATAAGATTTCAGATTATTATATTTTTTTGATTTTTTATTCTTATATTAGAATTGCTTCTTTGATCTGTTTTTTTCCTTCTATTTGCAGTCATAGTCTTCAAGAATTCCTATTTCACTTTCCTTTTTTTTTGACACAAGAAAAATCAATCATTATAATTAATTAAAATTATCATTCATATCAACCCAGAAAATAACTTTCTAATTGATTCATTCTATTTTCAATTGCTTATTTTATCTTCTAGATTTTCATGATGAACTTATTGGAATCTTAAATATTGCATTAACTTGCTCTACTCTCCAAATATCTACTTACACATCTTTTTATTTAGAATCAAAAAGTTTTGTTTAAAATGGCTTGCAAATATTTCTTATTAAATATTAACAATTTTTAAATGCTACTAAATTTTACAAATATGCATTTATATCTTTTATAGTTAGTATGATTTAAAAGGCAAAAAATATGAAAGATCCTATTAATGTTTTTCAATAAATCTCCTACAGGAGTTTTATATAAGTTGTTTTCTCTTAAACTAATAACATAGTGAATAATATATTATGATAAAATAAATGAAGAGTATAGTCCTCCATTAAAACTAAGATTCAAATGATAAAATATTGTCCCTGCTAATATATAACTTAGTGAGGGACCGCAAAATACAATTAAATATATATATTAAGATCATGTTACAAGAAAAAATTGTTTTCTTTGAACTTTTGATTTCAACCTGATATTTAAATTATTCAAATTTCAAAGGGCCATATACGTTTGAATCAATAAACGAATAATAGGTTTTTCATTTTTACAAATTCTTTCTATGATTATTACATATTATTAATCAATATAAAAAGGAAAATCTCTTTTCTCTATTACATGAATAAATTAGAAATCGCACCTTCCATTCAATAAAATATCAATTAGATTGTTGATAACATCAAATATTAACTTTATTTTGATGATTGAAGCAATTAAAAATAATCTAAAAGGAGTATTAGAATAATTAGATGATGAAAATACGACTTAAATAATCTAAAGCTTACAACTTGTTCTTTCTTGAATATGATAATTAAATAAAAGGATAAATTCATTAATCTGAAGGGTCCCTTTTAGAAAATTAAGTATCAATTGAATATTATGTTGCATAAATGACTTAAAATAAATAAATTTAGCATTATTCTCTAGAATACATTTATAAAGTCTATCCTCAAGAGATATCAGCTAAATAAGGTAAAGAAAGTTTATTTTAAGTATTAACAAATACTTTTTTGTTTAAATTATTACTCTAAAACATGGATCTCATGCTTATAATTTAAAAGGGTTTATTAAAAATCTAATCAGTGTGAAGGATAAAATAATCAATAAAAATGAGTTGATTTAATTTGTTTCTTTGGCTGACAATTTTAATGAAAATTTAGAAATTTTGTACTTTTAGTTATATTCTATTTTTGGATGTAAGTCATATTGAAATCTTTAAAATCAATGAAACCATCTTGATTTTTGAAAATAAATTAAGCAAATCTTAAACGAAGAAAAATGCGTTCGAAAGTACTATTAAATGTTTGAATTCTAAAGAGATATCTTAGAAGCAAAATACTTTATTATAGTAATTTTGAGGATGAGGATTTTAAAGTAGAGTGCCATAAATAAGAAGCTTAAGATAAATAATTTATTTAAAAGGTAGCTTAACTTAAATCCTCAAATACAGAATAATTAAATTAATTTGCAGAAATTTCAAATAATTAATGTTTTATCAACTTGAATCATTATCAAGTCATTCATAAGATTTGATAAAAGAATTTATTAAATTCTTTACATTATTCGAATAACGATTAAAAGTTTAAGCTAAATAATCTTATTTGCTGCCTTGCGTAAAAGGATCATCAGAGTAAAAATATTAAGAAAAAAATGATAATAGTTGTTAAGAATTACACATTGTTTATTTCATAACTTTGCTGTCCTTCCTAAGTTTCAATTTTTTAGACCAGACGCTCCTATATATATAATAAATATAATAATACAATGATGATGATAAACTCTTTTCAATATTTGTATCATTATTTAATCATATGTTTTGGTTAATTGAATTAAATTGGTTTCAAATTTTAAGTTGATTGTTACTTCTGTTGTTGTTGCCATTTATTTATGTATCCTAGACAAACATTCATACTTGTGCTTTTAACTATCAAAATAATCGATTATCATAATACAATGATGATGATAAACTCTTTTCAATATTTGTATCATTATTTAATCATATGTTTTGGTTAATTGAATTAAATTGGTTTCAAATTTTAAGTTGATTGTTACTTCTGTTGTTGTTGCCATTTATTTATGTATCCTAGACAAACATTCATACTTGTGCTTTTTCCATAGCACTTTTGAACCCCTTTTTTTAGCTTGGATAGCAATTCTTTAATTTGTTAGTAGGTGTTTATAGATGTGCTCCTAAAATTATGTATAGGGCATATAGCCCAAGTAAATTCGAATAGAAGTAATAGGTCTATATGCATTGTATCTAATCCATTTTGTTTGATATCCTTTTGAATCTGTATTTAAAAATTTTAATAAAGGACTAAATTATATTGCATTTCTGTTGAGTGTTGAGAGACGCGCAAATATCAGCTTAACTTCTCACTTGCATTAAACTGTTATTTTAGATCCTATAGTCTGATTCGAAATTTCAGAGTAATTTGATTCCTCCATTGATATAAAATATTATAGGTCTGAAAATCGACAATTCTACTACTATTTTAGAATAATTAAATTAAATTTGTAAAGCCCACATTTCACCTCCTTACTCAGGAAAATATTATTGACTTGCTAAAGTTTTCAAGACTATAACCTCTTAAAATTCAATTAATTGTATCCCTTCTAATTTGAAAATTATTTTAAAAAGTTGATTAAGTTGTTTCTCTCTTGTTATTTTTGTAACAACAGATAAGTCATTTAATGAACAAGCTCTTTTAAGTAGTTCCAAAGATAAAAATCAAATTTATAATCTTTCGCACATAACTTGCAACTAAGATTAACATCTTGAGTAAGAGAATATCATTTAGAATTTAAGATTTAGATCAAATTCAAAAAAATATTAGCAACTCTCTAATGTGAATAAAAAGAAGCACATCATGAGGAATACTTAAAAATATAGTTATTATTCTGTTTCATATTCATTAAGTCTTCTATGATGCATTAACCAAGTGATATTCTAATATTTCACACAAATTTAGCAGTTTTTTTTACATAATCTTCCGGAATTACATTCAAATTCAATGTAAACTACTCATAAAGCCCAAATTCACTTTGAATGCAGAGGAGCAAAAAATTTTAAATGTTAATAACCCTAAAGAATTAAGGAACCATGCATTAGGAATAATAAAGTAAGCAACATAAAAAAATTTGCTTTATTATTTCAGTTGCCACAATAATTTAATTCAAGAATGTTCAATTTTAAGTTTTTAATATACTCATATTATAATATAAACATTTCATTAGCCATTTTATTATTTTTTTCCCAGAGACAATGCTGAAAAATGACTGGAAATATCAAATGAATTAACATATTATAAATTTATGTGTTACACGAAATTCAAGTTTCAGGAACACCAACTAGGGTAAGCAAACCTTTAAAAACAATCTGAAATTAATTGATAATTGGGATTTATAAAAAGTTAAATAATAGTTTTGAATTTGAAATTTAAAAAACTAATTATTTAATTTGACTAAATATAAAAGAAATAGAAGTAAACTAGTATAAATATGAAATGGTATTGTTTTATCAAAGAATTTTTAAAAAAGAGAAAAAGAAATTTTCATAATTGGGACTCAATTTTAAACTAGAATGACATAGTAAAATTTCTAAATAATGTCAATTTAAAGTATTTGTCAACAGCTAGGAAAATAAAACAGTATAAATGATAAGATATAATTGAATCTATGTGATATTCAATGGAAAATGCATAACTTATTGAGTTAATTTTCTACAGTTTCTAGAGTTGTAGGCGTTTTAAGTAATGTGTGAGCTATAAACTGATAAAGATATAATTATACCTTTGACATTCAAATCTGGGCTTAACTAAATTGCTAAGTCATAATTTTACAAAGATTCTTCAAACTTGTTTATTTTGCCTAATGATTCAGCTAAAAATTACTCCTACATGGGATACCTTCCTTATTTTAAAACCATGAATTTATTTGGTTGTTCTAAATTGCTGAATCATATGTTTTCAAAGGATCCTACTGAATATTCATTGTATCTAATGTAATAGCTATGAAATCATGAATAAATAATTGTACCTTTGCCATATTAAAAGTCATCATCTTCTGGGTTTTTCTAAATTGCTGAAGCATAATTTTCCAAAGCTTCCTCAAATCTATTCATTTGTCTCAATGCAATAGCTATGAAATAATCAATAATTAATTGTACCTTTGTCTTTGTAAAAGTCTGCATTTTCTGGGTTTTTCTAAATTGCTGAATCATAATTTTCCAAAGCTTCCTCAAATCTATTCATTTGTCTCAATGCAATAGCTATGAAATAATCAATAATTAATTGTACCTTTGTCTTTGTAAAAGTCTGCATTTTCTGGGTTTTTCTAAATTGCTGAATCATAATTTTCCAAAGCTTCCTCAAATCTATTCATTTTATCTAATGTAATAGCTATGAAATCATCAATAGTTAATTGTACCTTTGCCATTATAAAAGTCAGCATTTTCTGGGTTTTTCTAAATTGCTGAATCATAATTTTCCAAAGCTTCCTCAAATCTGTTCATTTTATCTAATGTAATAGCTATGAAATCATCAATAGTTAATTGTACCTTTGCCTTTATAAAAGTCAGCATTTTCTGGGTTTTTCTAAATTGCTGAATCATAATTTTCCAAAGCTTCCTCAAATCTGTTCATTTTATCTAATGTAATAGCTATGAAATCATCAATAGTTAATTGTACCTTTGCCTTTATACAAGTCAGCATTTTCTGGGTTTTTCTAAATTGCTGAATCATAATTTTCCAAAGCTTCCTCAAATCTGTTCATTTTATCTAATGTAATAGCTATGAAATCATCAATAGTTAATTGTACCTTTGCCTTTATAAAAGTCAGCATTTTCTGGGTTTTTCTAAATTGCTGAATCATAATTTTCCAAAGCTTCCTCAAATCTGTTCATTTTATCTAATGTAATAGCTATGAAATCATCAATAGTTAATTGTACCTTTGCCTTTATAAAAGTCAGCATTTTCTGGGTTTTTCTAAATTGCTGAATCATAATTTTCCAAAGCTTCCTCAAATCTGTTCATTTTATCTAATGTAATAGCTATGAAATCATCAATAGTTAATTGTACCTTTGCCTTTATAAAAGTCAGCATTTTCTGGGTTTTTCTAAATTGCTGAATCATAATTTTCCAAAGCTTCCTCAAATCTATTCATTCGTCTCAATGCAATAGCTATGAAATAATCAATAATTAATTGTACCTTTGCCTTTGTAACAGTATGCATTTTCTGGGTTTTTTTTAATTGCTGAATCATAATTTTCCAAAGCTTCCTCAAATCTATTCATTTTATATAATGTAATAGCTATGAAATCATCAATAACTTATTGTACCTTTGCATTTATAAAAGTCTGCATCTTCTGGGTTTTTCTAAATTGCTGAATCATAATTTTCCAAAGCTTCCTCAAATCTATTCATTTTATATAATGTAATAGCTATGAAATCATCAATAATTAATTGTACCTTTGTCTTTGTAAAAGTCTGCATTTTCTGGGTTTTTCTAAATTGCTGAATCATAATTTTCCAAAGCTTCCTTAAATCTATTCATTTTTTCTAATGTAATAGCTATGAAATCATCAATAATTAATTGTACCTTTGCCATATTGAAAGTCAGCATCTTCTGGGTTTTTCTAAATTGCGGAATCATAATATTCCAAAGCTTCCTCAAATCTATTCATTTTTCTCAATGTAATAGCTATGAAATAATCAATAATTCATTATACCTTTGCCATTGTAAAAGTCTGCATTTTCTGGGTTTTTCTATATTGCTAAATCAAAATTTTCCAAAGCTTCCTCAAATCTATTCATTTTAATTAATGTAATTGCTAAGAATTCAGGAATAGTTAATAGTACCTTTGCCTTTATAAAAGTTATAATGTTCCTGATTTTTCTAAATTGCTAAATTATCATTTTCCAAAGATTCCTAAAATCTATTCATATGTCTTAATGTAAGAGCAAAGAAATCATAAATAGTTAATAATACCTTTGTCATGATATATTTCATAATCTTATGGATTTTTCTAAAGTGCTAAATCAAAATTTTCAAAAGCTTCTTCAAATCTAAACATTTCAGTTAATGTCATTGCTAAGAATTCAGGAATAGTAAATAGTACCTTTGCCTTTATACAAGTCATAATGTTCTGGATTTTTCTAAATTGC